ACTTACAGGGTAAGTAACTACACTGAAGTCTTTTTTTTTCTTGATAGCGCAAAATCTTTCTAAAGTGAAGTTTTCTTGTGAAAACAATACTATCGCTGGTTTTCGACACCTTTTCCATTTTGAAGCTGTGTTTGAATAGTACCCGCAAATTAATGGGGTTCTCTTAATCGAGAAAGAAACTCCCATCTCTTTGGACAATAATTAATATCCCCCTCCGACTTGACTGAACCTCATGTATTATTTAAACACCGGCGATGAAAACCTTATACACCTGTTTTTAGTCACATACAATTTTGTAGAGAAATCTAAAGCACGTGGTGGATAACCAAAGTCGAAACCCTCAGCGGATTCCTGCACACTAACAACAATTTTATCTATATTGCCATATTTGATGGGGAACCTCTTAGCTAGTATACTCCTGTTCTGACAGTAGCTGTCAGATTTGATTAGCGGTGTTATGAATCTGCCGTACTATATCAGTCTGCACATGAAATATTTTACAGAACCACTACAGAGTAATTTTCGCATGACTAAGACTGACTATATGTGCACCTATTATCACTATTATTAAAGGTAATGTTTTAGCCTAACATCAATATTGCCTGAGTATTATATTTAAATAATTGTTATGACTTGTCATTTCTGCTGCTGACATTTCTGTTTCAGTTACTTATACATAAACTCTTAGGTACCAAGAAACTTCGATGTACACTAATTTGTATCTTTTGTACGTCACGGAAATACAAGGTTACGTGTCATCGAAAGAATTTATGACATTCTTCCCTGGCATCATTTTAATAATGTTCAATTTAATTTTAAAAGCAGTTATCCACAATATAATAAAAGATCGAAACTAATCGTGGTTTGATTTATTCGTCCTGTCGTATATGTAATTTGCATATATTATTTCATTTAAAAGATCTTTTTTTTTCTAAATAAAAAAGTTAAAGATTAATTTTACTTACCCCTTATAATGCCTAAACTTGGTTCATGACATTTATTTTAGAACTTTCTCCGCACCAAGCACCATAAACTTAAATCCAACCATACTAACAGTATATGCACCCTTTCTAGAAAGAAGGATATATTAATATTCCACGGTATGATGAAAATACGGAAAACATATACTCCAGGTAAAATATTCATCCAATCCTATTCTAAGAATATAAATGAAATCTTCAAGACGACACACATTCTAAAAATGCATCGATGCTGAGATGTGAAACAAGCTTTGGATAGTTCTGGCAGCCAAACAGCTGTCGTTTTAATATATCCACTCCATAATCATAGTCTTCTACGAGCGGTAAGAGAGGAATCAAAATACTGATTGATTCTGATCTCTGACCAGTATTATATGGGATGATAACGATTGAACGCTGTAGACGAACACGTGTACTGGTGAATACGCTTGAGCCCTACACCAATCATGAACAAATGATTCCCCCTCCAGGATACAGTCGTCGTTCAGTTCAGTGGATAGAAACAAATATTGGGCTGCAGTTCCTGCAATGCCACTTTTGGCGAGATCTGAGAGTGTTATGATCAGCAGGGATGTTGTCTTGGGTATTCAACTTTATAACAAAATGTTCTGGCAATCTTGCCGGGAAATAGATTGCGTCACAAACATTCAGTTATTCTACAAAACGTTGCAGCGTACTCAAATAGCAATCACAGCTTAATGTATACATTAGCGAGCATGTTCGATAAAATAAAATTTGGGCATTGAAACAGACGGTAGAAAAAGTAGGAAGCAATCAACGCAGAGATATCCAAAATTTTGGGAATTATTCTTTACTAAACCTACATTGTTTAAAATATCACGCTTCATATAGAATTACAAACTTTAGCGGGAGTGGGGTAGATACAAGGAAAATATATTGGTTTGATTTTGGGTATATTAACGCCATTTTCAGGATATGATATGACAATATATCTGGTAGATAAAAGATCAGGGTAAACCCCGGAAGAAGTACTGACCTAAGGTAAGTTTTTCAAATATTCATTTTGTTTGAGCCGAGACTCGAACCCAGGAAGACAGGTGAGATGTGAGAGTGATTTGGAAATGCGAGCGGCTTTGATCACTCTGCTACCATGTATGCGAGGAATAATGGAAGCTCGAACACATATAGTACAATGTATCTACAGAGAAGAATAGAAAAGGTAAGTCATCTAATATCGATGTCAATGAAAATAGAAACATAAATAAAATGTAGACAATGGATAAATGACGTATATATGGATGAATGAAAATAAAAGAGAATGAAGTTCAGTACTGAAGATGATATGTACAAAAAACAGGGCCATTACGTGAATGCGTCACTGTTTATCGCAAACATAAAATATGGGCAGTTTACGGGCTACGGTTTGGCATCTAGGGCCACTAAAGTATAATCCAACAGTCGCCTCATGTACAATGTTGTGTTTCTCACGTCCTGCTTCGGTTTGTATCGGCACCTATAAAGTTTGCACGCAACAGCATTTAAGAGTCAATTATTAAACTAGCTACAGGTCACACCGAAACACACTGAGACGAGAAAGACTTGGATGCTGAAACCAAATTGTATAATAATAATAATAATAATAATAATAATAATAATAATAATAATAATAATAATAATAATAATAATAATAATAATAACAATAATTAACAATTTTCTTAAAGGAGGAAAACATATTTGGTCATGATTGACACATCTGCTGTGTGGTCCTCAGTTTTTGTATTGGCTTTGTTTTAAAATAAACCACAAGATCATGCACATAATTAGGCATGGTCACACACTCATTCATACATATTTAATATCAATGACTATGTGTGACTTTTTTTGGGAAACATATTTATATATGAACAATATTATGTACATAGGTATATACATTTCAGCATAATCCATACGTATATATATATATATATATATATATATATATATATATATATATATATATATATATATATATATATATATATATATATATATATCGAATAAGATGTTGAAAAAAATTCATGTTCATGTATGTAATAATAAAGTTCTCTATTCAGAGCCTTAAACATCCATCTTTCGAAAGCAATTAAGTTTCTTTGCACAAACGTACCTGATTTGATATAGAGTTGATATTTTACTTCTTTTACTTGTTTGTGGTGATTATTTTTATGTCTTTTGTTGTCATACATGAAATGCAGGAGACTGTAAATTCAGTCAAACCTGAACGATATATTTAAACTTGATCATTAATACTTAACACTATCATAAATACCTAACTACTTTATTTGAGAGAAGTAAATATAATTAAATTTAACCCTTTGGAGTCGAGAAGTTAAAGATGATAATAAATTCCCCAAATTTTACATTTATACAGAATGTAACATATACTCTTCAAAGCATTTCTCTCCAAAATCATGAAGACGCATCAACTACATGGCTGTTTTCTCGTTGTCAAGAAAACCATAGGCAGGATGTGAATCAATACTTTGTACAGTTAATCAACTTTGTTAATATGTTCCCTTTATCAATTTTACTCCACTCCACAAAACACAAATATGTATACATGTATGCATCTTTGTATGCATACCCTTTGTTATGTTTTTAAGTTTTTAAATTGTGTTTGGAGCCAACAGTTAATGGAGTGCAAAATCAGTAAATTACTTCGCGATAAGCAATATATAAATATTGGAAAAGAAATATCTATTTCAAATAGCAATTTAGACATAGTTAAATGGTAAACGTTCTGTATCTCGTATGATTTTTAATTTTTCAACAACACTTAAAGCCTTCTCTCTGATCATGTATTAATAATATTGTATTAAATGTACCCATTTTCAACCTATGGAAGTTCTTGAATTCGACGACATGTGGAAAAAAAAATCTCTTATCAAAACGTTGAAGAGGATACATTTGAATTTTAATTCGAAAAAAAAAAACTAGTGATTAAATTGGGATAATTTGGTATATGTGCATACTTGTATCAATACATCTTAGACACCCACCGGAACCTGCTGACATGGTATCGATCAACAACTTCCGTGATCAGTGTCAACATTTTTTGTTTAGTATTAAAATTGCATAATGTAATTATTTAGTGGCGATATCAGTCCGTATTCGTAAACAGCACACAGAACGAATTGCACAGCCCCCCCCCATTCTTACAGGAACTTGGCATGAAAATCTTTGATCGATATATTTCTTTACTGGAAAAATGCATCCAAGTTCCTTCTTCAATTTCATCCTTTTTAAAATTAACATACCATGGAATGGTTAGTGCCTTTACTGGAGTCAGCAAAAGCAAAACCATTGTTAGGATTTAGCGGCGGGAAATATAGGATTTTACTTTGCAAGCACACAAGTTCAAATCAGGAATGACGACTTTAGTACGGGTGAGAACATAAAGAGATAATTTATGCACGTGATTTCAGTTGATCATGGCAGTGATGGCTCGTGCCTACGGGGTAAATGCGGTCAAGTGACTCGGTACAGACTGTGATACAGACGGTATTCTAATAATAGGCAATTGGTTAGTAATACGCAAAGAATCTTTGGGCAGCGATTAATCAGACAATAGGAGGCGGCGCACAAATTTAAACGTAGAATTACAATGATAGGTGCGTTTGATCTCGATTTTAACGACAAAAAATGGTTTTCTTAATTCTTACGAAACAGCAGTACCCCGGATCTTTTAGTACCTTTGCCGGCGCCAGCAGCATTAAATTCGTTGCTTTGTACTGTTCGTGGAAAATTTGGGTTTTTTAATACAAACACAACAGGTGATGTGATGTGTGATTATGATTTTTAACGTAGCTTTAACAATGTTTCACTCACATCGCTACGATGTCTGCATTGTGGCACTTTTTAGTGATGTCTAGAACTGGGGCATCATGCCGCAGACATGTATCATGATGTCCCACCAGGTCACATTATCCTGACATCAGGCCGACCAGTCCTCACACTAACCTCTTAATGCTGAGTGTCAAGCAATTCAGCTGTTAGTATCATTTTTGTTCGTCTTTGGTAGGACTCGACCGGGGATCGAACCCACGACATCCCGCATAGGAGGCCGACGCTCTAACCATTAGGGCACCGAAGCGGTTAAACACAACAAGATTACTTTAGGAATTGATGATGGAGTGGTGTGAAACTTTTGTCTACGATCAATTATCACATTAAAACATATTTGTGGGAGTTCTTCTTGCTCTCTATAAAACTAAAACTGAGAGAGAAAACAATTTTGCAAATAAAATTGATTTTCCACTTAAATGTTCAGCAAGCAATATCTGAATTCCAATAAATTATGCTTATGTTATTTCCGAAACAAAATGTTTGTCTTCTATTTTCTTTTGCTCATATTGCTCATCTATCTATCTATCTATCTATCTATCTATCTATCTATCTATCTATCTATCTATCTATCTATCTATCTATCTATCTATCTATCTATCTATCTATCTATCTATCTATCTATCTATCTATCTATCTATCTATCTATCTATCTATCTGTTTGTCTGTCAGTGTGTGTGTCTGTGTGTGTTTTAAGAAAATGCTACCTACCTACTCTAATTTTAAAACCAGTGCAATAGGACACATATTTCTTTTCGGTCTTAAGTGAGACAGAAATTAAAACCAAATTCAGCAGGCAAAATAAATGGTTTTTTTTTATGCTAGAAAGCCGAAAGGAATTATTCTCGTCTAAATGCTCGGAAAAAATGTTTATATTATTTCCACCTACAGTCTAATTCAAATTTTAAACAAATATTTTTTTTTCTCACGGGCGAAGCAGAACCATTAACATGCCCACACAAATTAATGCCAATGATTTCTCTGAATTTAAATTTTACTTTTCTATTTACATAATCAAAAGACACGCCGGCAATTTGCACCATATGTTGGAATTATATCAGCCGAAAGCTCTGAATGAAACGGAAGCAAATTTATTTTCATGGCCTTTAAAAAAATTCTACAAGTGATATTATTGAACAGCTTGCCTCGAAACAGGATTATAATGTGGGTTGAATGGGCATATGCACATTGTCAATTGCGTTTTGTATTCTATTATATTCAATCTAATGTATTATCTTATCACAATGTTTCAAGACGGTCTATATATGGACTTCAGCATGGTACCTTTAATCATGAAAACACAATGTGCAACTAAGTCGCGATTTTGATTAAAATAATTCGAACATTAGTCTGATTTCAAGATAGCACAGAATATGATTATCTAAAATGAATAGTATTAACCTTTTTGTTATCTTTCATTTTGATTTATTTTATTTTGGTAAGGAATGACCTATAATTAGATTTAATAAGTCATTAAAAACACGACTTCGGATTGTTAAATTTCAGTATAACGTTTTCTTTGATATATCCTCGCCGTAAATTCATTTTCTGACTATGTATCTAAAATACAACTGTTCTCACTGAGTGTTAATGATCTCTCTCTCTCTCTCACACACACACACACACATACAGACAGACAGACACACACCAGTGTATGCTTGTTGTTACCCAACCACTCACACACACACACACACACACACACTGACACAGACACACAAACAAACAAAAAAAATAATTATGAAAAAGAATAGTCTCGGTGGCTTAAAATGGTATTTGACTTTATCAAAGAGAGAGAGAGAGAGAGAGAGAGAGAGAGAGAGAGAGAGAGAGAGAGAGAGAGAGATACGCATTAATGATTGTTGTGTTTTACTTTTTTGTGCATTTTAGTCCATGGTAGAATAAATTGAGCACGTGTCGACAAATTAAAGTGACTCATAGTCAACAAATTGGTGTATATTATTTATTGTCTTCTCATTTGTACCAGCATAACCAGCATATATACATTCATTGATCAACAAAGCGTCAGCATCGAGGACGTTGCCGCGAAACACTTTTGTGAATGATTTGGGGAATCGCCGACAATAGTGATTGTTACAAGTGACTACTAATGATTAGAACTAAGAAAATAAAATATTGTAACAAAAAGTCGGGTTTGAAGATAAATATATATTGCAACAAGTTGTTAAAAGGTTGCAAAATAAAATAATCAGACAACGAGACCAACAGACACATAAAACATAGACACGCAAACGCAAGGAATTTGACTGAAACTGAAAAATCAACTCTGAAAACAGAGAGAGAGAGAGAGAGAGAGAGAGAGAGAGAGAGAGAGAGAGAGAGAGAGAGAGAGAGAGAGAGAGAGAGAGAGAGAGAGAGAGACTAGTGCAATAGTACCGTTACATAAAGCACTAACGATACTTGGCTATCATAGTAAATAATCAAACTTCAAAATGAAAGCTTCTACTACATGTTTCGATATTATGTTAACCGATTTATAATTATTGCTTATCGATTGCTCTATATTTTAATTTTTTTTCAGATTCTCGCCAATGCAATTTTTCTGCATGAAATTGTCACTATTCTGACGCAAAACAAGATTTTATAATTCAGTTTGATTTGAGAAATAGGTTTCGTTCATCATCTGTATTAAATATAACGATATGTTGGACGAATATACGGCATAGTTTATGAAAGGATCTATAAACAATGACAAAATGAAGAGTTATAGGAAACGCATTTTTTTTTGGTGGTGGGTGGGGTGATTAACCGATTTATTGAGTTCAGTTCGTCAAGAAAATGTCCAGCTTGAGTTTGACTCCTAAATGTTCGCAAATTGAAAATTTTTGAGAAACATGAAGGTTAAAATGTAAAGAAATATGATGCAGATTTTTCAAATGCAGCAGTTACATGCGAAACTTTTATTTCGAACCCCTTTCGTGTCATATCAAAGACTTTTTTTAAAATGGTAGTAACAGTTGCCTCGCTTTGCGCTCCGCATTAAGAGATTAGTGTTAGGACTGGTCGGCCTGGTGTCAGGGTAATCTGACTGGGTGGGACATCATGCTACATCTCTGTGGCATGATATCCCATTGCTAGATATCACTATAAACTGCCACACTGCAGACTTATGACTGAAATCATTTTAAAGCTACGTTTTAAATCTAAATAACACACTCACACACAGAATAACGATTTTTAAATGTAGATGTATGATGTAAAGTAATCAGATAAAACTAGGTCACGGGACCGATTTATAAGTGACCACATCATGCTTGACTTGTACAATCATATGTATGCGCATGCCTGAGTTATAGATTGGTACTTTAAAGAGGTTAGTCTTCGTGCATCGCAACAACCAGCTTTATCTTGATCAATAAGCTTTCTGATCTATCAGTCTACATGTCAGTACACATTCCCTTTTTTCATTTAAGATGTCCTGTAAGAGATTATTACACGGGCTTGATTAAACTTCACAGCATAAGTTGTCAAGACATAACACAATAACTATAGTAGCTGACGTGAAAAAGAGTGCTTAGTCTTTCTACTTTTGGCAGTCAGCAATTACTTACATAAGAAACGCTCTCGTATTTACAGCAAAGTTGCCTGTTCATTGATACAGTTGCAAAGACAAAGAAATCAATATAAGCACGGTTGTAGCAAGACAATTTTTAATGACTAGGTTTTCTTATATGCATTGCAATTAAAAAACAAATATACATATATATTCTTTTGAAAAATGAAGATTCTAAGACGCTGAAAAACGCCATTAATAATCTGCAAAGAATTTCATCTTAAACATGCTATACAGTAATTGTATTGCCCCAGTGAACATGTTTGCCAAAAAATGACGATTTCCATTTCCTTTTCTTGCTTTAGTTGCATATAAGTAATAATGCCAGACAACACAATCGTGCAAACAACGAAGAAAAGAACAAACAAAACAAAACAACACAACAAAAATAAAATAAACGACAAATTAACAGTCGCTTCAAAACAATATCCAATTATTTATACTCTCTCTCTCTCTCTCTCTCTCTCTCTCTCTCTCTCTCTCTCTCTCTCTCTCTCTCTCATCGATATAGCTATATTCAGTTGACCTAATATACAGGTACGAAATAGGGTTATGGTGGAATAATAGTCATGCATAATATAACTTTCCATGCATAGTTTGTTGAAAATGGATAGAGAGATAGATACAACCTACAAAACTGCTACTCAAAATGTATTCAATAAGAAATCTTTATGCAGGTTATACATAATGACATAAAAAATGAAAGAAAAAACTTATTAATATAAAGACGTTCATGCACATATAGTTACAGACAACGAATTATTTTATGAGCTAGGGAACCAGCCTATGTGGTGGCGCATTAATTTAAGACCCTGTTTAGAAGAAGGAAGGTTACTCGTAGACTGATAATTATCACGGGGTAAAATAGTCATTTTTTTTTTTTGCTAAGACGCTTGCGAATGGGTAAACTGTACTCTCCAGTTGGCTTAAGTCTCAACCATTTTCATTTTATCACTGTCTCTGCACAGGTAATTATGGATGTAATCGGAAGATCTCGTCGGCTTTTTTTATATTCAGCACATGCCAAGGAATCTTTCTCAAAATGAGGTCCCAGCTTATAATTATGATTGTTCTTAAACTTTCCTCTTGGACAGATAATTAGTCAGATATAAGCGTCATTTGCCGATCTTACCACAGCAGAATACAAATTTTGCCAAATATCTAAATAAAATTAATTGCCTGTGTCATATATCAACAGATACACTCATTGGAAATGTCCCAGATAAATTATGCACGTGCCCGTTCGTATCCGTTTAATCAGCTGTGTGGCTGAATTTGTGAAATACGTTGCCTGTTACATGCATTTTAAATGTGCTTACAGCAACAGTTTTTTTTTTGGTCATACTGGATTTAAAAAAACGATTGCTTCATAAAATGCTGCGTGATCATTTTCTCTCAGTTGCGGTATAAGAAACAATTAAACCCATACATCTGTCATAAATTCGAGCAATTAATGTTATATTAACATTTATAGGTTTTAAAAAGTGAAACTATTGAAGCTAGTAAAATTCAGCTGCATACATATATCTACCTGGGAAAAACCAGACGGCAAATTAAGGTTTCGTAATCACGGTCTGTTAGGTGTCGTACTCTACTGCTGTAATTTAGCAATTTATTTATCACACACTCGTTTTTTTTATTTCTTCTATATTTTCTCAGATGTTTGATTGTAATGTGAC